CAAAAGTTTGACCTATTTAATCTCCATATAAAACATTAGAAATTAGATATTTGTTTAATTTTTATTTTGTGTTTGACTGTTAAAACAAAAAAAATATTTGTTGTTTGTCTCAATAAATTGAGTTAATTAAAAAATACAGTGGTTAAATGTAAAAAAAAAATTATATTGCTCTTTGTTTAAAAAAAGGTTATAAAAAATGTCAATAATTATCGATACAGAACGATATGAAATATTATATCGTTGATACAGTTTTTGGCTATATCGCCCAGCCCTACTATTTGTGCAGCAGCAGTATGTCCTAAATACTCACAGCACTGTATGTACACGGCACAGCACAGCATATGTATTGGCAGTAGCAAGTTCCTGTACTTGCTTGCAGCAGCAGAAAAAATCTACAACACTAGCAATAACCAACAGCAGCAACAATTCAACAGCAGCAGCATAGCAGATCTATTACGACCAAGACCAAATAGATTAACATTGTCATATCCATTACCATGCTAAACTCTTCCGAGATTTGTCATGATAGAAATGGAGTGTTATGGTCCACAATATTAGGAGTAATATACCAACACACTGTACATATACTGCAAGAAGTGATAGTTAGCACTTTCTGAATTACAAATTGAGGACTTTAAACTAGGGCTGGGCAATATTTATTGTGTGACATGACACAGTCTCAGCAAATCAGAAAAGTTTTGATGTTTAATGTACAGTTCTGGAGAAAGATTTTGGACCAATGAGATTTTTCTCTGTGGGCGGGGCTATTATGTCTTATTATTTGTCGCTTTTAGTGCATGATGCTTCAGTTGTATTTCTGTCATAATGCTAGTGTATTTATTTTATATCAGATAAAAAGGCAGATACTCTGTCCATAAGGATTGCAGAGGGCTTTGTCAGAGCCCCTATAAAGCTGACTAATTAAAGCCCATTATCAAACACAATCCTTACCTTATAGCAGCAACAATTCAACAGCAGCAGCATAGCAGATCTATTGCGACCAAGACCAAATAGATTAACATTGTCATATCCATTACCATGCTAAACTCTTCCGAGATTTGTCATGATAGAAATGGAGTGTTATGGTCCACAATATTAGGAATAATATACCAACATACTGTACATATACTGCAAGAAGTGATAGTTAGCACTTTCTGAATTACAAATTGAGGACTTTAAACTAGGGCTGGGCAATATTTATTGTGTGACATGACACAGTCTCAGCAAATCAGAAAAGTTTTGATGTTTAATGTACAGTTCTGGAGAAAGATTTTGGACCAATGAGATTTTTCTCTGTGGGCGGGGCTATTATGTCTTATTATTTGTCGCTTTTAGTGCATGATGCTTCAGTTGTATTTCTGTCATAATGCTAGTGTATTTATTTTATATCAGATAAAAAGGCAGATACTCTGTCCATAAGGATTGCAGAGGGCTTTGTCAGAGCCCCTATAAAGCTGACTAATTAAAGCCCATTATCAAACACAATCCTTACCTTATATGATTAAACACTACATCTGCGTGACCGCAGGGAAAAATAAACCTGGACACACACCACAAGTCTCAGTCGAAGAATTTACTAATGTTTTCCATCCTTTTAGTCTCGTTACAATCTTTTTTCTATAATTGTCTCTTCATTTACTTTCTGTGCAGTCCAGTGCCTTACAATCACCTGAAGACAGATAGACAGTTATAGAGAGAGACTAACACACACGCATGCACTCAAGAGGACATTAGGTTCTAATCACGGTGGTGTTTTAATCAAATCCTCGACCTCTCTGCTAATCGCTGGTGACATTACAGTTCCAGATAAAGTATGATAGGAGTGCACTGGCCTCCCCTTCTCATTTCACTGTACATTTCCCATTAACCCTCAGGTGAGGCTTTTATTAGGATTTAATCAGGCCTCAGTTGTCTGATCTTGGAGAGAAAGTATGTTAAAACAGCACAGATGAGAGACAGAATAAAAAGTGTGACTATGGTGCCTTTGCTCTCATTTTATTAATTTGGAACATCTATATTCTTTGCATTTCTAAAAACTGATACTAACAGTTAATAGTTATATTTTAGAGCTTTTTGCCTTTTTATTAGATATAACAGTTTGGGAAAGAGGGAGGATTTGGACATTTTATCAAAATATGCCTGATAATTGAACTGTTGTTAGCGCCGTTGCATGTTGATCTACAGGAACACAAACCCAAGTGATTATGTGAGCTCCAACTTGTTAAGAATGCATATTTTAACCACTGCACCTTGGCCCTAACTTAACTGATTTTTTTTTTTTCATTTAAAAAAAATCAAGGCAGAAATTAGTTTCTCATAGATATTAACTGCTGCATTCTAAGAGTTTATTTATAATCATGACAACTTCCTTTAAAATAAAAGGCAAATCTTTACTTGCCCACAGTTGGATCCCTGCCGTACTGGCTCAAGGAAAGAACAGATGGATAACAAAGGCCCAAATAAAACATTAGAAGCAGATCTGTATGCACACCCCAGGTTTGTTCCAATAGCATTCAAGGTCATTATTCAGACTGATTCTCCAACTAATTGAAAATTAGAGCCAAAAGGGGAAGGAAATAGGAGACACTAATCAATTTGAGGCTGTATCAGAGACGAGACACAGTAGGGGAGGGGTTCCTGCTCTACCTTCCAGGCCAGATGGCCAGTGTGTGTGAGGTGTGTGGTGAAGGAGCTGCAGCATGTATGTGTGATGTTAGTGTTTGTGAATGTGAAACATATTTCTGCATTATGGTTCAGAAGTACCTGTTAATGCTAAATGAAATAAGACAATGTGTCCTTTCTTACTCTATTTATTATTATTATTATTATTATTATTATTATTCTTTATTATTACACAAAGTAATTATTCAGCAAGGGTGCATTAAATTGATCAAATGTACAGACTTTATGCATTGCTATGAGCAATTTTTATTTCAAATGTTGTTCTTTTGAACTTTCTATTCATCAAAAAATCTTGAAAAAAGTATCCCTGTTTCCAGCAAATCCAGCATAGAATTATTTCTATAGGGATACATGTGAACTGTGAACACATGTGACACTGAAAACTGTAATATTGGAAGCTGAAGATTCAGCTGTTTAAAAGTAATATTTCACAATATTAAATGTTTTACTGTATTGCTTAATTAAACAAATGCAGCCTTGATGAGCATGAGAGACTTTTGAATGATATAAGATTGTTAATTATTTAAATTTAATTCATGTACATCATACTCTTTCAGTGTTTTCTAAAAAAAAAATATTAATAAAAAAAATCTACTTGGAGCTTTATATTAGATTACGTATAGCTTATTCATTCCATATGCAGAGAATGAAAAAAAGTTATTGAAAACGACACAAGTCAAGGCAGATATTTTACTTGGTAGACAATTTGATTTGAATCGTGTATCTTACATCAGTGGGAGTTGGACTATTGCTCCTACAATTTGATTTAAACCCTGTATTATGTTATTTTTTATGAAATTGCAAGTCAACTACAAGTAAATCTGTTTTATTTACTCGCCATATCAACTTTGTACTTTTTTTTGGTGCTCAATGAATGTTTTGTGGATTGTGTGTGTGTGTGTGTGTGTGTGTGTGTGTGTGCGTGTGTGTGTGTTCATGTGTGATTTGGTCAGTCTCTTCAGTGTGACATCTGGTACTAAGGGTTCATACGACAGGTGAAGGATCCAGACAGCTGTAGAGGATCGTTTCAACCTGAAGCCCTTTGTGCCAAGCCACAGAATAGGTATTTTATTCTTGTCAGCCTCAGGGCATCAGATCAGAGGGGCACATCGCACACACACACACACAGACTGTCTTTTTTTGATGTCATCTGACAGTAGTGGAACTCAGCAGAGAGGGCTTTTTTTCTTGCTTTGAGTGCCTGTGTGAATGTGTGTGTGCATGTCTGATGCTCTGACTGAGAACATCACACTGTTTATGAATAGGCAAGATTGCATTCCACTTTTTCTTCCACACATAGATAAGCACCCCTTCTGGAGAGAGAGAAAGAGAGAGAGAGAGAGAGAGAGAGAGACAGAGACAGAGACAGAGACAGAGACTTTTCTGTGCTGAAGGGCTTGAATGGGCAGATGTTGTCTGGGCAGACATTTAGAGGTGCTAAGAAATGCCTCACTGAATCTGAAAGGCAACATCACAACATGCCATCTGTAATAACACATATTCACCAATAGGGACAGACATGGCCATGAGCAGCTAAACTGCATCTATTGGGAAATAAAGCATTTATTAAGGTAAAGCAGGAGAACACATTGCGAGGACGATTGTGGTGATTATTGAAGTCTAGCAATAAAAACTGCAGCCTTAAATCTGGTTTGTGCAGGAAGGAGGCAACCCCAGAGTCCGCTAAGTGGCTTGTTAAGGATTCATTAGCACAACGTGGATGTTGAAGTAAAGTAGAAGTTTTGCCAAGTAAACGTCTTTAGGCACAGAGAGTGCGACAGCTAATGACCCTGCTCAGTCAGAAGAGCCGCCGCTCGGCATTCTGGGGGACACTCATACAAATAAATGGAAAATATTTGCACTTGCGCTCCAGGTCTATACAGTTCACATGCTTCATTCCGGTCATTTTTTCCTCATTATATGTCTTTCTTGCTGCATCCATCCTGCTCTTGTACCCATGATTATTTTGAAGCCATGTGTAGCCCCTAGCTGTAGCAAGGTGTTCGGTGCAGTTGTGAAGAGATCCCACACTAGTCCCACACCATGTTGTCTTAGGAGACACGGCACAGCACATTCATTTACACATTCCTTCTCCGTTCTTAACACTGCCACAGACTGCTACTGAGAGTCTTCCAACACTTTTAACAGCCAAGAACTGTGTGCAGTGTGCTTTTCAAACAGATTTGGCAACATTTGTTTTCTTTCATTCATAATGAACCGTATTTAATTATAAAGTGGTGTCATTAGCACTCATTGTACTAGAATAGATGTCAGGAAGAGGTGAGAATTATGTAATATGAAGTGTGTGTGTGTGTGTGTGTGTGTGTGTGTGGTGTTTTAGGTCTCGTCTAGCTGATTTCTTCACCAATTGTCAGCCTGAGCCCCGCTCTCTCTCTGGCTGTCTGAAGGAGAATTATGCTGACTGCTTGCTGTCGTACTCTGGCCTCATTGGTGAGTTTGCCCTGTAATATATATTTATTTATTTTAATTATTATTAATATGGTAAATTTAATATTACACTCTAAAAAATGCTGGGTTGTTTCAACCCAATGTTGGGTCAAATATGGACTAACCCAACTGTTGGGTTAAATTTTGGCTACATTTTTAAATTAGCTTTTTAACCCAACAGTTGGGTTAGTCCATATTTGACCCAACATTGGGTTGAAACAACCCAGCATTTTTTAGAGTGTAGGGTCTACAAAAATTTATTTTTGAATTATTAATATAGTACATTTTATATTAATTCAGTGTCATGGGGAATACACACACATCAACCTGTTATATACTGATGATGATTGATGATTGATGACTTCTACTACTCTCCATAAAATCCACTGAGATATATATAGAGAAAGCCTTTGTGAACACATGTTTGTTCTCTAGCTCTTTCTTTGCGTTTTGCCTGTGTTGGATGTCTTTCCAAAGTCGTGTGTGCAGCACACAGAAACAGCAGCTGGACACACGGGAATACAGCAGTGCAGCTATTAATCTGTGATTAGCTCCTGTTGTTGTTCTACCAGTGGGAGACTGTTTCTCTGTGGGCTAACACTGTCACATCCCCACAGTACAGCTTTTATGAGGCACACTGCACCAAAAGTATTATTTTTAAGAAAGCTCAGTGAGAACAGCATAACGGCTAATCTGAAGATGGCAAGGGTTTAGGGTTTCGATGTGTACACAATCAGGCTTTTAAAAACGCACATATTTAATAAAATTCCAATTAAATATGAAATTGATATTTTAATGTCCTTTTGTTTTCCAGGCACGGTGATGACCCCAAATTATCTGCGCTCACCCAAGATCAGCGTCTCTCCATTCTGTGACTGCAGCAGCAGCGGCAACAGCAAAGAGGAATGCGACAGATTCACAGAGTTCTTCACTGACAATGCCTGCCTGCGTGAGTTACTGCTTTGGCCCGACTTATCCTGTCTCTGTGCAAAGAAAATCTGAAACAAACCCTCTGATTTACATGTGTAGTTTGTGTTAGAGCTGGGCAAAATAGCATAAAAATAATATATATATATATATATATATATATATATATATATATATATATATATTATATATATATAATAAGAGATATGAAACCGATATGAACCGATATGAAATTTATCAGCCAATACGATAGCAGAATGATATCTGTCAGTGCACCAACATGTAGCGCCGTTGCGCTACAGCCGTCCTGAGATCGAATCCTGGCTCATGGACCTGATTCCTCCAACCCCACCCCACACACAAATTAACAAATTAAAATGACAAATTGTTTCATTAAAATAAAAAGTGTTTAGTGCCCAAATATTTTTTTTTTACTAAAATATTTCAAAGCATGTAAAATGACACAAAGTGAGTGAAGTGATTATGAATTAAACTTATCAACTCTAATGCCCATTTTCCAACTGAAGTTTAAATGATACAGATTGTTTCATTAAAATAAAAAGTGTTTAGTGCCCAAATATTTTTTTTTTTACTAAAACATTTCAAAGCATGTAAAATGACACAAAGTGAGTGAAGTGATTATGAATTAAACTTATCAACTCTAATGCCCATTTTCCAACTGAAGTTTAAATGAGACAGTATTTTAAACTTTGCTGACTTAAAGGGGTCATATGATGCTGCTAAAAAGAACATTATTTTGTGTATTTGGTGTAATGACATGTGTTTATGCGGTTTAAAGAGTGACGAGACATAAACATTAAAACCCATTACAAACGAGGCATTTGTTTCATCCAGTGGGGACACAATTACTGATTATAATGACTTATACTGTCTTTTTACACGTTGCGTTGCATTGCATCGCGCCGCGTAAACATAAAACTCTGTCTGCATTTGTGATCGGAGAAATGACAAACAACAAGTGCTACTCTACTGCCCAAAACTCGCGTTTGAATCATCAGTGGCAACGAAAAACATAGCTGCCTACCGTGAGGGGAAGCCCCGGCTTAGCGTATGCTGAGGCCGGGATAGAGTGAGCTGAGGCGGGCTGGACTCTTAACTTTTATAAAGAATATCTCTTTGGATTTGAGACTTTAGTCTTTGCAACTTTACAGATCTTCTTTATGCACCAAGAGCTTGCAACACTCCAAAGACAAAGGAAAAATTGAAATCGCATCATATGACCCCTTTAATGGTTTCATACTTGAGTTGTGCAAGTGCTGTAGTCTAATGACAGACTCTTTGGGAAACTTATGGTTGTATAAAAAGAGTCCGTTTCATTTTATCCTCCTCTAGTAAATTACATAAAAATAGACGTAAAGATGTGAGCAATCTGTCAATCGCTCCTCATATCTTCTGTTAGCTTTTTTCTGTCTTGTTTTCTCTTCCTTTAAACTTTGTGCCTCCATCCGTGCCATTTCCTTCCTAACTGTCCATTTGTCTCATTCTCCCTCTGATCTGGTTTGCTCTGTCCTTCTCTTCAGCAAGTTGTTTTCTGAGGCTTTTAGCTGTCCACCTGTCAGCCCGTTTTTACCTCTGCCTCTAAAAAGCCTCTTCCATCTTCCTATTAAGTACACTCCTTTCTCTTACACTTTCCCCCGTATATCTTTTGCTCGCTACCCTTCCTTGACTGCACCAAGTGTTTTGTTTTGTTCCCGTGTACTCATAGAATTGCGTGAAAACAGACTAAGTGGTAATAGAAAAAAGCAAGCTTTCAGGGAGGGCTTGTGAAAGTCCTGGGAGTGCTACGAAAAATGTATAGTACTGAAAAAGATCCATGCAGGGGTCAGTTTATAAAAGCAGAGTCAGGTGAATGCCACTACTCAAACCTCAATACACAGCATTTGAACTTAGTTTCTTGTGGTGAAATAGTTCACAGAAGAAGAAGGTCATGTCAATCATCATGCCCCTTTTGCCTCAGTCCTCAGTTCGCTGTTAAAAGTCAATAGGAATGCACAATTTGGAGAAAAAAAATCTGATTATGATTCTTCTAACTAGTGGTTCAACGGATCACAAATCTCACGGTTTGGATCACATTACAGTTTTTGACCCACGGATTGGATCATTTTTCGGATCAGCAAGAAAAGAAAAATATTTCAATTTAACTTGCTTTCCATTTATTACTTAAAGCGAAGTACTTATTTGATACCACATTAAATACTACTAAATTAACTAAGAAAGTTTAAACATGATTAAAGAGACAAAAGAACAGCCAGTAAAAATAAGAAAACATATACAACAGAATATGTTACAAATAAAATAAGGTTGGTAGTATTCAAATACAGAAATGTAATAATTAGTGAAAATAACACTGCATAGTGTTCACTGGATAAATTAAATACAGATTTTTATCACAGCTGTTTTGTTTCTGTGCACGTAGAGAACAGCGTGTGGGTAACGAATTGAGTTCCCTTTCGCCTTTTCTCTCTGGAATTGTTTAAAATTCGCTTGCTTGTGTAAATATGAACAAATGATAAACTTATACTCTATTATGGTTCAATTTTGCAATTAATCTGCGGAACACATGCGTGCCTAACCGTGGGGCTTGGTCTGTACGGATCACGGATCAACTACGATCAGTTTAACCACTACTTCTAACAGAAATTGTGTTTTGTAATGCAATAAATAAATAAAAAACAGGTTTGCTGTGCTTGTTTGTAAGGGCTGCATAATTTTGCCAAAATTTTGGACTTGTATGTCAATATGTACAGATGTATCTCAATAAATTAGAATGTCGTGGAAAAGTTCATTTATTTCAGTAATTCAACTCAAATTGTGAAACTCGTGTATTAAATAAATTCAATGCACACAGACAAGTAGTTTAAGTCTTTGGTTCTTTTAATTGTGATGATTTTGGTTCACATTTAACAAAAACCCACCAATTCACTATCTCAACAAATTAGAATATGGTGACATGCCAATCAGCTAATCAACTCAAAACACCTGCAAAGGTTTCCTGAGCCTTCAAAATGGATAAAATCCAGCAGTAGGTCTTGATTTACAATCAAACACATATCTAAAACTCTAATAAACAGTCATACATCTCTGGGTCTCTTATGTTATGGTAAACATCTCTCAGACTATCAACTTAAGACTTTGACAGCAGACAGGAGGCAAAACTAGTGTTTATCTGTGCTGTATTGGCCCTCCAATTAATTCTTAACTATTTCATCGTATCTCTCTTTTAATATGAGGTAGAAACCATCTTTGCTCTTTTTTATGTAGGTAATGCAATCCAGGCATTTGGAAATGGGACGGATGTGAGCGTTTGGCAGCCAATGCCCCCAGTGCAAACAACCACCACTATGACAACACCATCCCAGAGGAACAGAGATCGAGACAGATCACCCAATGCCATAGAGCCAGGGACACACATCAACCATCTCAATCCAGCTGATAACTCCCTCTACCAGTTCTGCGGAAGCCTCCAGGTCAGTGGAACTATTGCCGACATAGATCTTCAAGTTTCATTTATGCATTGTGGGTTGGGTGAATGTGTATGTGCCTCAGGGAATGCAGGGTTTTAAAACAGACGTTGTGTTTGAGGTCCTCATATGTTAGGAGTTAATAAATACCTCTGTTGATCTTGAAAATTATGTTTTAGGAAGGGAATGGTTCAGTCGCATATGCCTAATTTACATAAGAGTGCTATACTACATTATAGGGGACTCTGCTAAATATTTCTCATGGGTAGGTAAATTTGATTTAAAATTTATAGACTAAAACAGCCATAAAAATGTAAGGAAACACTATAGAAAATGGAAGACAGAAATTGCAATTACTAAACTATCTAACTATTTAGGCTAAATTAAGATTTACAACATTACAAAAAATGTATACATTTTAGTCAAATTAAGAGTTAATAAATAAATAAATTAATTAATATAATATACTGCAAAATCCCCAGAGTTAAATCAACTCTGCTCAGAGTACATATTGTCCCAATCTACAGAGTGTTAAAGTAACACTGAAGCAGAGTTACCACTGTTGAGGATTATGTGATACGTTTTCATGTCTAAAAGCCTGAGCAGTAGTTGTTCATCTTCAACATTGTTAACAGCAGGTTTTCTTTACTAATGCTCTCATCAATTATTGAATTGCTTAATTATCCCATTAACTTTAACTCTGCTTCAGTTTAACTTTAACATTCTGTAGACTGGGACAATATGTACTCTGAGCAGAGCTGATTTAACTCTGGGGATTTTGCTGTGTATACCATTAATAGTTATATTTTATCTGTAACCACTATAATAGAAATATATTTACAGTTCACATAATAATCACAAAAAATGTCCTTATTTAAGAAGGTTTTGAACATCATTTGCCAAGTCTCCTTTATATCTATAGCGCTTTATACAATATAGATCATTTCAAAGGAGCTTCACAGTATAATGCAAACTTCTTCAAACAGGAAATAAATTCAAATTATGCTGCAAAGCAGCTCTAAAAAAGACAATAATATCCTTATTCAGCTCAAGTCAGTTCAATATTTCAGTTTAGAACAGTTTATCAATTATGAGATGAGATCAATTCAGCTCTGCAGAAGACAATAGAGTGGCTATTCAGCTCAGGTCAGATCAGTGTTGATTCAATATAGCTTAAAAACAGTGTCGATGTTACAAAATGCATCAACTATGAAAATAAGTTGATTCAGCTATAAAGCAGCTCTACAGGAGACAATAGTGTCATTATGCAACTCAATTCAGTTCAAGTTTTGTTCTCATCCGATAGTGTCAGCGCAGTCAATTTGACAATATTACTGAATATTAAGTGAATATTACTGAACACATAATAACATGTATACCTTGAATGCAATCCTACTCACTTTGGATATAAGTGTCTGCCAAATGCATAAATGTATTAAGATACAGCCCTTGAGACAACTGAGACAACAGTTCAATCCAACAACAAGACCCACACAGCCAGGGTTAGAGTTGGCCTATTTACAGCATGTCTTTTAATTAGAAACAAGGCTAATATATAATCACAGACATTAGGGCATGCACACACGCATGCATCCAGACCCAAACACTCCAACAGAGAAAAGCGCAGCCGCAGGAGAAAGTGGCATTAATTAATGAGTTTACATGTTTTTGTATTAGCCTCACTGCTAAACGTAGTCCTCTGAGGGGGAGCAGCTGTCAGTGTGAAAATGAGGAGAAAAACAGAGACGGAGAGTGCAGACTCATGGGATATGTCTGTCAGTCTTTCTTCATTGGTTACAAATGATCACAGCACACGCAGCTGACCACTAGGAAAACTAGCGAGACGACTCCTGCATACGAACGGCATGTTAATGTAGCCTCTGTTGCATATCGAACTGCTTTTCTCTCTCTTGTTTAGAACCGAGATGTTTACAGCCAGCCATACTGTTTGCATCCCCCTTCAGTTATGTGATAGAAAGGGTTTTTGCCTTTTTGAATAAAATGACAGAGCCAGATGTGCATTAACACCCTCAAAACAAAAATACCTCCGCTAAAAGCGTGTCAAAATGCAAGTATTGGGCATATTTGCTAAATTATGGAAAGCTCTGATTTAACAGTATGAGAAAGTTCTCTACGTTCAGTGTGAACTCATGTTCTAAATATACAATAACAGTGAGAAACTCTGCTTAGTATGCTGTCAAGTGATTCAGTAAGATTAAGGGCCAATTTCTTGAGTTTTGTTCTCTTTTTCCATTTATTTTTCTTTTCTTTTTTTGCACTATTAAAGTGCCATATCTTCCACTTTGGGAGCACAATTATCCAACTTTTTTTGCCTGAACATCACACTTTCTAGACTTTTGTTGGTTTATTTCTTCAATTTTAAAAATGTTTTAAGGGCACTAGGACTGCTCTGGTAGAAATGAATCATTGATATTAAACCTCAAATCCTCTTTTTGCCGGTCTGTAGATGCGGTTGTTTATAATGTTTCATGCTGGCAGAGGCATTGCTTTATCATGCTGGGCTCTGGCTTAGATTCAAGTCGGCTAGTTTCAGGAGGATACCGAACCACCAACACACAGGAATCCATTCATTATACTGTCACCAGGTCTCCTATATCACCACTGCTTCTCACTTTCTTAGACACGCATACCTATACAACAAGTACACACACATAAGGAAGTGAAATCCATACTAAATTGTATGCTACTGGAGGGTTACGTTTGAAATGCTAAAATCTGAGAAATATAATGTGGCCTCAAACTGAGAATCCTCCAGTAACCCACCTGCTATGATTAATGATTAATACTAATATCAGCTTGTGCACACATTTAATTCTCTATGGTTATATTGACACTATCTAAAAACAGAATCACAATAGATTTTAAACTTGTCAATATTATTATATAGCACACTACTAATGCAATTAATGGATATAAAATCGCAGCTATAAACAGCAGTCTGGCTATTTTGTTATTGATTATCCCGTGTGGATCCTCCTGCAGGACTGTTGTAATATGTAGTCTAGTAAGGGTTTTCTTGGTCCAAAATGTTATTAATTTCTATCCAGTTACTTTAATAGAGTTTTTTTTCCTTTCTAGGCTCAGAAGCTGCAGACAAACAACACAATAGATGTGTTATGTGTGGTAAGTATGCTAACATACTACTTTTCATGCCAGAATAATAACTGATTGTACATCCCAAACTTGGCATATCTCTGATATATGTCAAGTGCTATTGAAAGGATGAATCATAATGAAAGAAAAGATACAAAGCAGTAATTATCTCATGTCACATTGGCCCCTTTCGGCTGAACTTTGACCTGGCACTAGAGGGCTCTTCCTGCCCGGTATGCACATGATATTTGCGTTGGGTGATGGCAAAATGTGAACATTGCTTATCTTCTGCCTTTTAAAGTTCACTAAATGTCATTGTACATAATAAAAGCAACATTATATGCTAAAATGACATTTAGTGTTGCAGCGGCAGGCCCAAACAGCCCTAAAAACAAGGACCTCTTTTCAGAGAACAATTTCATTGCTGAATCAAAGAGCTTTTCTAATCTGAACCCATGTTAGGTATAACTCAGACAGAATGGCATTTTTATTTTTGAATGAGCTGTATTTTCTTTTTCTTTTTTGCAAGGTGAAAGTCCAGGTTTTTTATGCATTATGGTGTACTAAAAGCCTTGAAAAGCCAATCACAATCACAAACACATACAATTCCTTTTAGAAAAGTTCAAGGTAAAACATCATAATGGAAAAATACATCAAAATCAAATAGCTGTACTCTCTGCCATGCCTAGCCACCTTTAGGCTGGTAAGACTAAATGCTCATCCTCTTTCTTGCCTGTTCACTGTTGTGTTTCTCCAAGGACCCACAGATCGATGACCCCAGCTCCTCCAACGCCATCTCCAGGAATTCGTCCACTCGGCAGGCATCTCTATCAGGCCTTAGCTCTCTGCTGCTCCTGCTGGCTACCACCTTGCACTGCATCTTCACTGTAGCGATGTTGTAGCCACCTAAGAATATAAAACACGGACAGTCACACTTTGTACAAAGTCGATCGCTGTTCCTGGTCAATCTGTTGTACTCAGTACTCTCTCTCTTTCTCTCTCTTAGTCCCTCCCTTCCTCTCTATTGCTGTTCTGTTTTTTAAGAGCTTTTGTTGATGTTGTTGATGCAACGAAACAAAGTGGTCTTGGTGTACTCGAGTTTCTGTCTCTCTTCCCTCCTGATTTTGCATCGGAAGATGAAACGTGAAAGAAATGCGAGATAACCCTGGAATCATTGCAGCATTCCCATGTGATGTTGTGCCGTTTACGCAAACTGCTGGTGTTTGAGGGCCAGAAATCATAAGGACTCCTGTCACAGCAGTAGAGCTTAATCTTATCTGTGTACTTAACAGCACAGTGTGCACTATCCATTGCTCACTGGCACACAAAGACACAACAAAAGTAAAACCAAGACACTATTAAAATGTAATTTTTGAGATGTGGTCACTGTTTATTTCTACAAATTGTCTTCTAACATTATGGTGAAAATTAGATTCTCACTAATTGTGCTTCTCCGTAGTTTTTCTATAGCATCACTGGCCCATCTGTAGGTCAAACATATCAAAAGACATTTACAAAACATCTAGTCACAGAAAATGAAAGGAGGGTTTAGAGGGGAGTTTACTGGATGACCAACAGGATAGTAGCTTTGTCTGAAAATACATGAAGGAGCCTATTTGACAACTTTGCTCTGGTTTGTAATGGTGTGTTTGCGTGTGGATGCATGTGTGAATGCGTAATGCTGTTTGTATGTGTTTGTTTGAACGTTGAGGATGAGGTCATGGGTTGACTGGATGGATATGTCAGTAGAACTGGGGTTTCATAACTCCTCTGTCACAGTTTGTGGGAGAAAACATGGACTGAGGCCGAACAGCAGCATTGATTCTTGTGTAATCAGACGATGTGTCAAGGTTCTATGTTACAATTGCATATATAAGTATCTGTAAATTGCAATGCATCACCACTCACAAAGCTAAACCTACCGGCATCCGCGTATCTATCAAGTGTATATTGCCTTTCTGATGTTGCTTTGACAGGGATTTTCATACTTTGGCCCCAACGAAACATGCAATCTAGTCATGTATGTATTATATACTGTAGCCAGTTTTTTGTACTGTATGTCTCTACAAAAGTTACTGAAAGAGTCAGTATTGTGATCCTGCATCACAATTACTTAAAACCAGTGAGAAAAAAATCTTATATGTCAGTATGAGGCATGTGCAGTTTAACCACCTCAGCGGTACACGTTAAAAGTGTCTATGACATGCTGCTTTGGTTCATGTGGCATTTTGAACAAAAAATAATGTATTGTTGTACTCCATGTTATTTACAGGACAGTTTAAGTGCTACATAAAAAACACACACACACACACACAAACATATATATACTTCTACATGAACTATGTTTATAGAGCCTGCTATATTTGAATTGGGATTTGGTTGTACAATGTATTATCATATTGGATAAGGATTTGTCACTTTTCTTAGTAACTATATACACAGTATATATTTTTGTTTAGATATTACAGTACAAATTGAAGACTTGCATCTGTAATTGTTGTTGTCCTGTCCTATATCTCAAAGGAAGGAGATGTACAACAGCCATTTATTTACTATACACCACTATGTTATTGTTTTATGGTAAGCCAAAAAGAAAGGAAAAAATATCTTATTTTTGTATCCTTTTGCATTATGAGTTTATTTATTGTAATGCTGTCTTTTCTGCTGGAAAGCAGTATGGGAACTTATGGGAGCATGAGTGATGGAAATGCAATAAAGGCTATTGGATGCGGTTTGTTATAGATTCTGCGCAGGCATTTTGTGGTGGTCTGCTATATTTGGGTTTGGTTGCAACATAAAGTTGCTGTGAAGATGGGAGCAGGACAGTAAGAGTCCTACATTGTAAAAACTATATTTCTCTACATCCACATCTTATTGCTCCAGAGAATTAATAAAAATAAGAAAAAATAAAACACAAGGCTCTTCCACAATCTGTCACATTTCTTCTTAGCTTGTGAAAATGTAAAAAGTATTATATGAAAACGATTAAAATGTTGACTCATTCACCTTTGTTGTGTTTTGTTTTCACATGGAGGATGTATAAGAGGAATTTAGCAATTTAACCTTAACAATAATTTTGTTTACAAAAGGAGATAGCAACAGGTCAGTGAGGGCTGCACAATAATTCTAAATAAAATGGCAATATGGACTGAGACACTATAATAACTTAAAAAGATGTAACTAAATATAACCAAAGTCCCACAGAAAGTGGCTTTAGTTGATTCTCATAAAGACTGAACCCAAGTGTGAACACTCATAAAAAACAACTATTCCATTGACAGCAAAGTGTGGTCTCTTTGTTATTTTTGCTTGGATGTCTCAGCAGCGGTTTTATTATACTTTTTCATATGAGAATAAAAGTTCATAATCTCAGTTGAAATCGTTATTACAAGATAACTTTTTGGCCAAATCGTGCAGCCCTGCTCCTTATCTACGCATGTAACCAAACTGCTGAATCAGCACTAACATGCTGTGTCCTCACTACAGTGGTGCAGTATAAAAGAGCAAGAGTGAAGCGCTCAGGTGCCTCTCTCATGACTGACTCGACCCAAGAGGACCATGAAGATACTTTCTTCATACGTTTTCTTTGTTGTCCTTTGTGGTTTGGCGTTGTCCCGTAAGTACTATTTATGTAATATTAACAATATACAGTAGTCAACATTTGAAGTGGATCAAAACCTTTCATCAAAGTTGTTCTAAAACCAAAATGCATTCTTGTCCTAGGACAACTTTGATGAACTTTTTTGATCCACTTCAAATGCCGACTACTACAGTTTTTAAAATACAGAGGTCACCTAATTAATGTTGGTTATAGTTGAATTGAGTTAATTAATACCAATAGATAAAGATAAAAAATGAATTTAGACAGCTTTTGTCAGTTCATTTTGTTTGTGACTTTGCATATGTGTTCATTAAGCAATACTGCTGTATGTGGGTCAACCAGTGTCACTTCACATTAAAGAGCTTTTAATGCCTTAAGTGTTGAAAACATTTACTTATATCAACAACAAAACCGATAAAGACAGAAAATGTTTGAGGGAGAAGGTCATCACGTTCCCACAGCTGGCCACCAACACCTGGGTGAAGCTCCACCCGAATGAATCCATGGATATGTCTGCAGCCACCGTGTGTTTGCAATTCTACTCTGAACAAATGAGTCTCGACCCATGTCTATTTTCTCTGGCTACACCATCGTACCCTCAAGACTTTTCTTTACGTTGGTTAAGTTTCAGCAAACAGTACGAGATGACTATTCATAGCTTCAAGGTTCAATTCGGGTTGGTGTTTAAAAATAATCAGTGGATCTCAATGTGTGCAACCTGGGATGCCAACAGTGGTCTTGCACAGATGTTTGTGAATAAAGTAGCCAGCTTTAAGAAGGAAGTGGGCCCAAAAGTATCTTTCAAAGGAGATCCTGTCATAACACTCGGCCAGTTTCAGACCCAATATGATGGAGGGTTCGACCAACACAATGCCTTCACAGGTTTCATAGCAGATGTGCATGTACACGAACAAGTCCTGACCATCCGTCAGATTAAGACCTACATGGAGGCAAAGACCAGATACAAACTTGGTAATTACATTAACTGGCACAATCTGATGTACTCCATTGCTGGGTCTGCACAAGTGGAAGAAAAGCATCAAGTAACATTCTATAGCAAAGAAGAGCAGCAATAGTGCTCTGTTGTACTGAACTGTTGTTGTAATGTCATGAGAAATGAATAAACATCTTGATAGCGAACTTTGTGCTGAGTTTTCAATATTGACCAAACAAAAGAAGCCATAACTGACTTGAATTAGAGTCGGTGCAGTTTAATGATCAAAGTTGACACAGTGGCCTCAAGCTTGCATGTATTCCCACCTACTCACTCACTCACTCACTTAATACCCACATAATGTCCAAACGGCCTGGTCAGGAAAGTAGGCTACTATATAACTGAGCATTTACCACTAATATCGTATAAACGACCTACCCTTGTTACATTTATCAACTAGCAACATCCTGAATATGAGGTTTAATAGTTTGTACTATAAAAAAAACAAGAAAAAACATTATTTTCCTGAACTTAAGTCACTTGAGGACACCCTACAAATGTCTAATTTGTTAACCGCCATTTTTACTTGCACTATACTATAAAACCTAAAACGGCAAAACAAACAACTAACATTACAGGAGCAAACCTCTTGACACCAAGTTCTTCGTACCTCGTGCCAGATCTTCTAATCGTGATAACTGATCTCTGGCTAATTTGGTTCTTCAAACGAATTAGTGAATTTGATTACAATATCTGGATTAAGTTGTCTAAGCCTGTGTCCCAATGTGCACACTATCCATGCTAAATTCTATGTGATATTAGTCATTTTCAATAATATTAGGGCAGATAGGGTGGGTAGTATGCACACTGGGACACAGGGTAAGATTACTGCGTGTTCTCTTGTTCCCCAAAAAGGGCAGATGTATCAATTTTCGAAACCACGATCAACAATGCAGCGATTGGCTGGAGGCTAGAACGACATCATATAATTACCCTTTAGTCTAGAAACTAATTCCAACTAAAGACACAAGTCTCATTGTGTATTTCAAATCTGAGAATAAAATATTATTTTAAGATGATGCTGTGTAATTTTTTTTAATGAGACTTTCTTTTTGGACAAATCAAAGAAAATGAGAGAAACATCTAGCATGTTTCTGCTAGGTGCTGTAAGAGCAGAATTTCCAAACGCAACTTTTGCCTACAGCGCAAATGTAACAATCAGCAATTTGCAATTAAAACAATTTAATTAGTTAAATATTGAAGGAATACTTTAGTAATTTATTTTTATTGAATCCTCTGTTGACCTGTTATGATTAATGCACACTGTATTTGAGTTCTACTTGAGTATAAAAATGGTATAGATATAAATGTGTTGAGTTGCAAATAATAATAATAATAATTCATAATCATGCAGTACTTTTTTTATAATTATGACCTTTATCTTTTTTAATAATTTAACCACACTTTGAATTTTAGTGCTTTTGAAACTATTTTGAATGGTTGCAAAGCAGCTTTACATACATACAGAAAGTAGTTACAAAAGTAAAGATGTAAACAACATATAGCTAGTTAATTTGAAATGGTGAAAGCAGGGGTGTGGACTCAAGTCACTTGACTCGAGACTTGACTCGGACTCGAGTCCCAAATTTGATGACTTGCGACTCGACTCAAAATAATTAAAGAAGACTTGAGACTCGACTTAGACTTTGACAGCAATGACTCGAGACTTGACTTGGACTTGAGCCCTGTGACTTGGAAAGACTTTATGATCAGATCAAAGTCGTTATAGACGCATCCCTGCAGTGTTGCGCTTGACTGGCAATAAGCCAGAGACTACGTTCAGGGAGCGCTGGATAGGCTAGTATAAATTACTGGAGTAATAGCGTAACTTATGACAAAAGAGAACAGAGATTATAAAAATAAAAAATGACATGATTCGTCTAGTAGCGATCTCCGCTCGTGAAAAGCGCTGCCCTGTCCGTTTGATCGCCACCCAGCAGACACACGGAGCGGGCATGAGAAACTTCACTGGTGCTCGCCTCATCATTACTGTGACCGCTGCTGTTAAATATTCCTCACTTCTTCTGTTTGTCCGACACCGAGGTGCACCATGAGTGACGGATTCGCATCCCGCCACGACCCTCGCACTCTGCCAACTCGATGTGCTTCATTTTCATTTTTATTTGTAATAAACACCTCTCTGAGACCTGTTTTTTGTCAGATCTCCACTGTTTTTGTTCGATCAGTTATATTTTAATTGCATGTGCATTTTTTTTTAAATTGAAACCTCCAGTAACCCTTAAATGCATGAATGTTTTGCCAATCATTATATTCGGGTATTTAGCGACCCGTACCTATATATACAGCACGGATGGATATTTCTTTAACTGCTGCAATAGCAAAAAACTCTCTTGATATTTTAAGAACAATTACAGAAGAATAAAATGAAGCATATTTCGTTACCTTTTGAAACTTAAAAGGGTTCAATTTGAGCAGATGATTTTACCATCGCTGTCATTGTCAGAGCACACTTCCACAGTAGGCCTACATTCAGCATCTGCCTCATATTCGCGATCTCAGCCATATTCTCAAAACTATCGTTTTCAATGTCTTCATATTCAATATTTTGATCACTGGCAGCTTATTCACCACATCCAGCATCAAATGACAGTAACATTTATATTTCATTGCATATAGTAATTGCTGTGCAGTAAAGCCATTCAAACCACTTCAGTTTTTGCTGATGATATTCGTTTGTTTTATGCCTGCAGTAATTATGAGTGAAACGTCATTATTGTGTATCAAAAACAGTGTCACCTTGAGGAAAAAAGATGCATTGCACATATTGAGTCATCAGATATGTAAATTGTCACGAATCCGGTCCACAAACTTCCGTATGCTTGCCACCAGAGGTCACCCTTCCACTACTATGGACTCTTGCACCACACCACTGTTGCACTTCACCCGGACTACAGTTCCCATCATCCATTGCACTGATTACACACACACAGTTGATTGCACACAGCACTGATTGCACACAGCTGTCATCAATCACACCTTCCCTATATAACACTCACTCTGATCCCCGTCAAGCTGCCGAGTATTGTATAGCATTTATCACTCTCTTAGCGATAGCTACTCTACGGAGCCTGTTTACTTTTCATAGCCTTAACTTAGTCTTGCCTTGTCTGTTTCCTCGTGTCCTTATCTTCGCCTGTGTATCTCGGATTCCCCCTCTCGTCTTGCCCTATTCTGATACTGTTTGCCCCTGCCTGAACCTTGCTTTGTACCTGGACTTATCCCTCTGGTCTCGCCCTATTGATCCTGTTCGCCGATCGTAGACCCACGCTAGCCCTAGGATATATGCCTCCTACATACCTGTTGCCATTATCTGACCCTTGCCTGTCTCTACCATTTCTATTAATAAAGCTTTGCACTTGGATCCGCACGTCTCACGTCTCGTCAGCCCCGTAACAGAATACTCGGCCACTCAAGGATCCAGCGGCTTTTCCAAAGGACATTGGCCAGGTATGAACACAGTGATTCTGCTACTAGCTCTCAAGCAGGGCACACGATCACTTGAGGGTTACATTACGGAATATTTGGCTTTGGCTAATGGCTCAGAATTACCGGACTGCGTGTTAATTGACTTCTTCTGTGAAGGCCTTAACCAGCCTGTAAAATCACGAGTAATTCATGAGGGTCCTCGTTCGTCTCTAAGTGATTTTATGGACTATGCTCTAGTATCTGTTGGTTCAGCGTTCACTGTGGGTATCGTGGACCCCGCACTCACTCGTGTAATGGCGGCCGCACTAGAGCACGCTCCCAAAATGGAGGCGACAGTGGAGTCTGATCGCAAAAAGGTGGACACAACAGCGCCCCGTTATGTCACAGCTGCCAATCCTGAGTCAAATCAAGTCACAATCTCCTTGGAATTGTCAATAAGTGTTCTTTTGTTTAAATGCTGTGAGCTACTCAAAGCTGCTAGTTGGT